TTTTAAACTAATAGTAAATAACAATAAGAAGAATTTAAACTAAAGACAACAAAAAAATAAAATTACAGACATAGATATAGACAATATATATATATATATATATATATATAAGTGAAAGATATTTATTAAATGTGGAAAAATAAACCGACTGGATTTGAACTTGGGATTCCTCGCCTATTACCAAGCACTTAGTCTGCACGATCGCGACTCCTCTCTATTAGCTGTTTGTATTCCGAATCTCTTTCATGACCGCTTACGATCGTCTATCTCTTACATAAGTGTATATTATGTCGAGCAGCTCTCATTTGAATCCATATATTTATTTTAAAATGTAAAAAGCAATAAAGCATTCCAATGATTTTTTTGATAATCCATTCCCACGTTCAAAGCGATATTAGCTGCAAGTACCGTGACAGTACACGTCGACTTTTCTCATCAGAGTACGATATCGCGGTATGTACGCATGAGTTTATAAAGAAGCGTTTGCTTTTGCTTTGGTCACATACCGCGCTTGTGTAATTCACCAACGGTTTTGCCGACCCGGCGGTGTAATTGCCGTCGCCGTCGCGTAACGGGCGAGGGCGATGAAAGAGAGAGAGAGACCCAAGCGAAATGGCGCGACAAGAAGAACGTGCGTACGCGTGTACCCGCGAAAGCAAGAAACGCATTGCTGCACCGTGTTCGCGATCGGGTGACATGACGTTAGAAGAGATGATGAATCGCTCCCCCGAGAATGCCGCGTATTATACTCACAAATGAACGAATTAGCGTTAAAAAGCCATCACGCGTACGTGGGTGTTCAAAAGCAGCGGTAAGAGCTCGCTTACCGAGCCATTAGCAATCGGTAAATATTCGCTAACCGTTAAGGTAACTCGATTTCTTCGCGAGACAAACATTTTGAATCGATGTAGTATACAAATAATTCAAACACATATCCGGCGTGTGAGATTAATATAAAATTTTCGAATTTAAATAATTTTCATATTATTTTTATATAGCGATAACGCGAAAGATTCTCGTTTTTTTCGTTTTAATTTTTCGCAACTTACGCACCACTTCCCAGATTCTTCGACAACGCAACAACGCGGCATAATTGATCCGATTGCATACGCGGTTGCCGCGAGGTGCAGTTTGCAATATCGGCGTTGCACATCGCCACCAAGCGAGGATTCCCCGTGCTCGGTTGCATCAAGCTCATCCGAGGAGGCTTCTTGCTCTTTTGCCGGGAGCGCAGCTCCCTTCGCTTGAGGAACTTAATCTACCAGAAAATATGCAATCTAGATAATAACAGAGCCCCGGCTCGGGCGCGAGATCATTATGGTTGTTATTAAACTTAAAATAACAATTTAGCGTTTAATTAGATTCGTTCGTGGGGGCTCCGCGCCGCGGGGGCATCCCCCCCCCTCCCCTCCCCCCGAGGAAACTGCGCTTCTGTAGTGGACGGACAACGTCGATCCGGGGGGGCTCGCTCCGGCACTCTCGCTCCTCCCTCGACGCGACTTCCGGCAAAATCTCATTATACCTGGCGCGCTGTCGTCGCGCGTCAACCACGTCGCCGAATCGCACTGCCCGTGCGATTTGCGCTTTTTGGCTCCGTAAACAGCAGCTTTGGTTACGTCGACATAATTTTAATCTTCTGTGCCTCGTATCTTTTAATAATACGCCATACGTAACATGACTATTAAGTAGTCGTATTAAGTGGTACGTACGTAAGAGACAGATTGTGTGTAAGAAGATCAGAAAAACTTGAAGATTTATGTACATATATATGATATGTATGATTATCGGATATAAAAATTCTTCTCTCATAATTACAAATTCTTCACGAAAATTTGATCGAGAATATTTACTTTATAATCTTTTGCAATACGAAAAGGAGAGAAAAATAAAATTCTTTTCGAAGACAATTGAGATAAATATACAATCAATTTTCAAAATTTTGATATAACGATCTATTCTTATGTCAAAAGAAGAATTGTAGTAGAACTTGTGATTACTTGCATCATAACCAGAATTCCTTCAGATAATATCGGCCAAATTTCGATGTAACAATGGGCCTTTATTTAGCTAACAGGTAGCTAACACACGCCTATAGTTCCTGGGCAGGAGCCACTTAATCTCGGCACACACAAAAAAATGAGTAAGAAAAAACGAAAAGAAAAAAATAACCGTGAAGAAAGATTTCGTCACGCGTTACCGCGTTATATTTGCATTTGCATGCAGTCAATATCCCGCTATTATCCATATTATAATAAACAAAAAAAAAAGATGATTGATTCTCAGTTACTTATTGAAAGATAAAAGGAAGAACGTGATAACATAATTTTTGAATAAAAAAGCTTAAAAAAATGCAATGAGTATTCATATTTGCTAAACCGGAGTCTTTCTTCTCGATTCATTTTCGAATGAAGCATTAAACATTTTTGACACGACTGGTGTTATTTCTGCGGTGAAGAATTTCAGGTTGTTCCCCAGCAGTAATTCAACACCAAACAAGACGACTGTCCGTCTCATTTGCAATAATCTCTCATTGTAAAATCTCGTTTGAGGTTTTCAAAAATTCGATATAAATATTTATAAACGAGAAGAAAAGGAGAGAGGCAGATGGCTGCATAAATTATAAGTAAAAAAAAATAATTCTAATTCAATGGAACAGGATATCACGAAAGACACGATTCGGTGAAATAAATTACTGACATATACAAAAACTTATCTTTAAAAAAAATTTAGAAATAAGTATAAAAAATATAAAATATAAAAAAATAATATTAATTATTTTTTAAATATAATGTAACATCAAAGCATAAGCGTGTTGTTTTTTGAAAGAATTTCGTACACTAATTAAACTGTTTCAGATCAGGTGAACGATAAAGGAACGCTGATTTTAAGCAAGATGAAGTTTGTTGCAATTATATTGAGATCTATTTCGTTTGTCGACTTAATGAATCTGTCGGTTGAATGAACCTCCCCGAATTAACATTCCACTCCGAAATCTGAAATAATAAAAAAGCAATCGTGGACAAAAGAGACGAGAAACGAGCGAAAAAAATCTGATTTCCCTTATTCTACTGTTTTCGACCAATATTTCAATTCCGAGGCATATGAAGCATATGGAGGAGTATTAAGAGATTTCTTAATACTCCTCCCTCGTGAGTCACAAAACATTCAGGTGCTACTTAAGTTATTATTTCAAGTACAAATGCGACCGCGGGCGTCGGATGGTGGGCGATAAGCGAACGTATCCCGGCCTAAAAGAAGAAAATAAGTAGCGTAGATCGCGATCGCGAGAACAGCGTAGCCACTGGGCGGAACGATCATCGAAATATTCACCTTGACGCCGAGTAGCCGATAATTACGCCCTGTGGCCATTAATAAACTAATCCTTGAAGATTTCTTACCGGCCATCCGGAGCAAAGAGCTCTGTCGCTTTATCAGCCTTCAGAATCTCCGAGTGCCCAGGGCAATCGTCAGAGAAGAAGAGACGGATGAGACGGGGTGTGTAGTGTGTCGAGGGGTGGAGGGGTGGGGGAGAGACAGGCCGATCTACAGGGTTTAATGACTTGTGGTATCAAACGGCCGGGATGAGAAAAAAGGGGGATAAATGAGATGAGATGGGCCCGAAGTCCCGACTAATCACCGGCGATATTAATGCGCGGTGTATAAAGAATGCGGCGAAAACCACGTTTGTGTTCGGTAAATTGCCGACGCTTCTTGGTCTCGGATGGTTGAAAAACGCGCAATTACGCGTCGACGGTTAATTGAATCATCTGTTTTCGAATAGGCATGTACAGAATTTATTTATAATCATTAACGAGGGAATGAATTTATTTTGGATAACAATTAAATTTAAGCCAATTTTATCTTTGTAAATTGTTTCATATATACGAATTTTAAATCTATCAAATAAAATATTACAATACACACATACAGACGTCACGTAGCGAACACATTTTTCGTTTCTTTTCTTGAAAAGTGTCTTTAGAGTTTTTACAATTTTTCAACAAGTTAAAAGAGAGAGGGCGATAAATCGGTAACAACGATGGCACCGCTTAATCACAAAGTTGGCGGGTGAAAATCCGTGCGCATGAAAGAACTTGGGCATTATATGGCCAAGGGGTAGTTTGCTCTTCATCATCATGCGTGACGTAGAGTCATGTGCGTGGCCGTGGTACGGTAATTTACCGATAATTTCTCGAATCGCGTCCTTCGCATAGAAGTGAGTAATCGTACGCCCCCGAAGCAAAAGGCAGCCGAAGGCCTGCGAAAGAGGCGACTGCGAGAGAGAAGTGATCCTCCTCGGGGAACGGGGAGCTGTCTTTGAGTAATGTCTTCCTAATTACGATGCCCCGTGCAAAACGTGGAACGCAACGACGTCCACTGTCGGACGGACGAAGGGAACGCGGACGATCGTAGAAAAACGCGGATCCTCTAATTCATCGCTCGGTTCGTGGACGTACAAAAAAACGTCTAACGGTCGAAACGAAGCGCCTGAGTATATTTCAAGCGCAGTCCAGCCAATGAACGAAACGCTATCAGCTACAGGAATAATTCACGGCGAATGATAAATGACACCGGTACACGCAATACTGCGCCTATTTTCAACGCCTATTTTTGTAAATCGATACATCACAAATATGTACGTAATTCTTTTAAGGGCAAAGAAAAAAATATTCCGGCATACATTTAACAAATTGAATGTGTATTGAGAGACTCGTGCGATGGAGCAACGTGTACTGTAAACGTGTTGAAACGTAAATTAGCGATTTTAGATAAATTACAGAAGGTCCATTCTAGATCGCGTTGTTTCCGTAAGAGTAATTATCACGGGACGACAATTATCACCTGCAGCTACGAGAGAGGGCGTGTGCTCTCGAAGTGTGTGGCAATCAACGCGAGGCGGACCGAGCCAATTGTTAACGTTCGCCACCGAAATCCAATTAATTCCATGACTTGGTTGATTAACGAACGGCTCCTAATGCGAGGAGGAAATTCACTGCACCGAGCGCGCAACGCGAGCGCTCGTTTCAAACTGGCGGGGCGAGTGCGCCGGGGAAGAAAGCCCGCGGACACAAAAGACGTGCTTTCGATTATTAATGAAGTGTCTTTGTCCGTAACGAAACCGTATTAACCGCCGTGCTCCGCTACGGGCGGTGTTGCGTATTTATTATGGCGCCGGGAACGAAGGCGATTTCCACTCGAAATCGTTTCTAGACGCACCTCCGTGTCTCCTCCGTCTACCTTTTAAATGAGTTCACGTCCCCATCATCAGTCCGACTACAATCCATAATGCGTACGTTTGATCACGATCTTAAATTATTCGCGTGGTCCACATGGAATGTGAAATTCTATATATTTTACTTTCCACGCTTTTATTTGAAAATATCTCCAACAAATCGAATCGGTAAAAGGCTGAACTTCATTTTTATATTTTTTGACTATACTATTCGCAAAATTTGAACTTTATCGTTTACGCGAAAATTCGCGAATTATGATCAAACATTCTATACTCTGTGTATATCGCGGATACAAGATTTCGTTCTTATTTATTAACTGACGACATGGGCGACTGACAGATTTGCAGTCACAAGCCAAATCAAATCAAATCCTTACAGATGAAATGGTCCGCGCACGTGTGCACATCAAGGAAATCGACGAGGTGTGTGGCCCCCATGCCGTGCTCGAGTCCTGGCTGGACTATTAATTAATCCACGACTACTGCCTGTTCACTGGTTAATTACAAACCCATTACCTATATGTATCGCGTACCTATGTTGCCGAATGGTTATTCAATCCTCACGGATTCGGGCTCGCAAAGTGCTCATCGTGATCTTGACACATGACGGATCTATTTATATCCACAATCAGGACAATAAAACTTATCGTAGAACGTAAAAAATTAATGAATGTAAAATAAAAAAGAATAGAAACGTCATGTTCTTGTGCTATTACATTAATATTTAATATAAAACTTCCTTGTGCTTTTTATAAAAATATTTTTATTATTTATAGCAAAAAAAAAAATTTTAATTTATCGATAACAATATTAACAATTACAACTTATGAGCCAGTGACGAGATTTTGCAGTTGTGTGCATTCGACAAGTAAAAAGTTTATTCAAGATGGCTGTTGCAAAGAAACTTCGATAAGTTCATGCATGACCATTAATTATTTCCGCGGAATTATTAATAATCGTTGTCGTGTTGGCAGTGGGACTCCCTCGCTATACATCATGCGGGATCTACTAATCATAGGTCGCGTATCACATCATCGGTCTACGATGGCTAAGGAAAGAGGAACGACTTCGAATGACAAGTTTGCCCGAAGCTAAGGCTCGAGAAAGGAATGGGGGGGGGGGAGAAAATTGGGTACATCATGGTATGCTATTAAGGATCAGTGCTCCCTTGCGGACGGTCACGCGCAACGCCACATGTGTAATCGAATCGATATGTCACCTCGAGCAACGCGCAAGAATAATAATGAAAATAAGTATCTCTTCAATCGAAATCTAAATTTAAAATCGGCGATTATCGTCACTCATCATAACTTCAACTTTATAAGGAATTATTTTTTAATTTAAAAATTTTCCCGAAAATATTCACTTAATATTGTCGATTTAAACTGAAGCTAATTAAATCAAATTCATTTTCAAGTGATCATAAAAAAAATCATTAAGTGAAATACATAATATTAAGATTAAAAAGACAAATTTTATTATAATAATTTATGATCGTTTAAAATTTCAATAATTTCAAAGAGTAGTGGCTTGAACTTCAAACAGAAATTCGCTTTTATTACGCCGCACAATTACGAACCTGTAACATGTGTCGATTAAAACTTCCCGACTGACTGACGATAGATCGATCACGGAACTCGATGACGAGAACCGTCGACGGGACGGCGTGATGAGAGCGAGGATTCGGCACAATAAATAACACGCAGATCTGGCGCCGAATTAATCGATCGTAATCGATCGATTCGCTATACGGCAATCTGCCCCGTGTGGGTTTTCAATTTGCACGGACCGTGGGGGCCTCCGTACACTCGGATCGCGCACATTAATCCAACGATTACTATACTCGCCGCGAGCGGATTTTGCCGTTATCTCATTTGAAAAATCTTTCAAATGCGATATCGATTCCGACTCATCTCATTTCTTTTACATTTCAACGGTATTTCCGACTAAAACATTTCTTTTTCTTTCACGATGCAGAAATCACATTTTACAAAATCACGACGTTACGTAAATATATATAATTATATAATTTCATAAATAATTTACGTAAAAATATTATAAATATATAATTTCATAAATAATTTACGTTCGCAAAAGTTTAATTAAATTATATTTAGGTACTATATTCAAGATGATAAATAAAGTATTTCAATTTTATCTTTTCTTTACGTCATCTGATCATTTTGGCCTATACTTCAATCGTATTTTAAAAGCATTTAATAAAATTTGATGGTATTTTAAAATTCTTTTCTTCCGACGATTCAAAAGTTATTATATTGCAGAACGCTCGTGAGTTTCAGGTCATCAATTCGACATTAAGTAAAATAAATATCTAAGCACGATACAATAATTTTTGGAAATGATGTAACGATCTGGAATTCACCTGTTAGTTTGAGCCACGTGCGATTTGAATGACGATGAACAAAAATCGAAGCATATGTTGACCACAATGCAATTACTAAGCTATCAATATGAAATTCGGTTCTGAATTATAGCATTATTAACAAAAGATGTCAATAAAAAAATGTCTCTGCCAACAGAAAAGAAAAAGAAAAAAAGAATTATTCGTATGTTCTTTATTGACTGACAATTACTATTACTGCCCACGCTAATGCAGCGATGTTAACACGCGCAGATCGTACAAGGTAGACAAGACGGACACAAACGCGCGAACATACGTGATCAGAAGAAAATATTACAAAGCTCAATGAACCTTTCGAGGCCATCGGTCAATCTCGTCAACAATTCACTGAGATTTGCTTAATTGCAGTAATAAATTGAGCTTACGCGGAAAAGCGCTTCGAGTTAAAGCGAATCGAAAAAGTTATATGTACAAAATGGGGAAATTATTCTTGTTTATAGATCATATGTTTATCGCTCTCTATAATAAATCACGAGTCTAATTAAATCAGCTAATTTAATCCGTTTAATAAGCGTTTAATTTTTTATTATTGTTACTTATGGATCACATCCCTTATCGTTCTCTAAATAAATAAAATGAGTCTATTTAAATCAGCGTTTAATCCGGATTCGTGTCAACTTACAGCGGCTTTATTAACGTTGGGTTTAACGCATGCGTTCTTATTTCAACGTAAGAATTTTCACCGTTTCCGACGATTACGATTTTTATGTTGGATATATAACGCGCGTGAAGATAGAGCGCGATTTACTGCTTCAATGATTCGCGAATTTTCTCCAACCGTTTCATTTGAACGTCGCGAGAGCAATTTATTACTTTCCAAGCGACTTTAATGCGAACTGGTCTCGCTGCGCGATAACATCTATCTGATAGCTATCCTCACGATGTTAGTTGCCCGATCGTGCGCAAACGTGCCGTTGACCAGCATTTCTGCGTTCTTGAATCGAGGCTGTCATTAATAACTATGCCGACCATTACCGAGACGCTCATTACTTTCGATTTAAACAGAGATTACTTTCGAAACGCGAATTAATAGTTGGCCGAAACGGATAAACGAAAATGCGGATCGATTTAGCGGAGCGATTTCCGAGAGCAACCGCGACATTAATCGATCAATACGATCTAGCGACCGACTGACTCGTTTAGCCAAATTTAACCCGCAACCTTATCCTTAATTGACAATTACAACACAACTTGCAATTTAAAACTTTTTCCCTATTATGCACGAATTATGCTATTCAATAGCCACGATTGTTTTTTTTCAAATTATTTTTTCAAAATTTATAAAAATATATGAACTATGTGAAAGTTGAAAAAATTTTTATGCAACTATAAAAATAATAAAGTCAAACCTTGTGTGCACTCGTCAATGTCCTCGGAACAGTCCAGTCCTTTGTATCCGGTGGCACAGGAGCAGGTGAAGGACCCGTTGATAGGGCTGGTGTCACAGATCGCGCCCTCGTGACACGGATTTGACGTGCAAGCGTCATCAAGATGGCAGAGCAGCCCTGTAAAAAAAAAACAAATATTAAAAATATCTCATATTCATTTTATTGTATTCATTATATTTTATATTCGTATAATCCTATAATCGTAAAACTGTGAAATTTAGTAAAAATAAAAATACTTAATTTTTTCGTTTTGCTGACGAATGCGATTAACAGTTTTTCTTAAAAAGTATATCGCAATAGAGACATAAAAAGTACGCTATGTAAACATCAATTACAAATCTTTTCGATGCGTTAATAACGACGAGTGATCTGTAATTTACCGATTTTTTTCTGATCCAGAGTAAATTATACACAGCTGTACAAATTATTACAAAACTAATTGAGAAAATTGCCGACATCATGAGCTAAGCAGGACAATATAAAATTAAGAAAGCTGACCGCGGGATGTAATTTTCCTTGGGAAGCGGATCGCGTGTGTCTCGAGACGAACTTTTCTTTATGAGGTCCGATAACGGTACTGAAGTCCCCGGGATATTCATATATAAACCAGAATAAGTGCATGCAGATGCACAGAGCACACCCGCGTAACTGTAAGTATATCTACTGAACTAAAAGCACGCCTGAAGGCAATGCAGAAGATGGCCATTACGCGTTTGTGTATTGCGCTGCGCATTCTGTCATTCTGCTGTAAGCTCTCTCTTTCTAATCGTTGAAAAATCATAGTAATAAAAATACAAAATATAATATAGTTTCTTAAATCGAACATGTTACCGAATCGGCATTTATTCAGATACTCGATAGAATGCAAAATTATGCATTTAATTGTGCATTTTGGAAAATTAATGAATAATTTTCCCTGGAAAGTATAGTATCCTTCTTCAATTATATCGTAAACGAATTTTACTCGGAACGTCTGAGATTCGACGAGATGGTAGTCGCTCGGTATAAATGTTTGCCTCTCCCAGGAACGGCGACGACCGTCTGGCCGTGAGAAGAGAATATACCTGTATTTGGCGATCGTCGCGAATCGATCTGAAAAGCGTTTTCTACGTCGACTATTACTCCGCGGCAGGGGCGGCGAGTAAGGACAGAAACTCGTTTCCAATCGCCAAGGTCGACACACGGCGAGGAGCCGGGGCCCCGGGAGTCTTCGGAATCTCGAGATTCCGAGAGACCCGTTCTACGCTCTCTACGCAGCATACCGGCCGCGCATCATAGCGGCCGCATACGTGCGACCGCACCTGCCGCATGCATCGCCGCCGTTGCAACTGCGAGTTCTGTTCTCGACCATACTCGGTATCGAGTTAATCATCCCGCTCTCTCTCGCGGATACGCGGATTTCGCCACACTAAACCAGAAGAGGCTCGCTATTCCTCCTCTCTCTCAAACGAAAACTTCTGACTTTCATATTTTATTATGTTTTAGAGTTTATGCGTTTGCGATACTTGTTGCACTCTACTTGAATAAAAGTACAACGAAATCCAATTGAATTTAATATATCGTTCAAAGCAATTGCTATGATAAAATATCTAGCGTCTAATATATATTTATAAAAAAAATATCTCAGAGAGGCTCAAAAAGGATCTCAAACTAAATTGATAGATAGAAAATCTTGCTATAGATCTTAAATGAAGTCCGACATATTTCTATATTTTATTGATTATACTAAATTTAATCGTTAAAACTATGTCTGTGTTTTTGACCAACTAAAGATATCGTCATTATTTTAACAGAGCGTTTAAGATTAAATTAAATTAACATTAGAAATTTCTAATACTTCACTATTTTTTTATATGTCATAATTATTAATCTGATTATAATTATTCTTTCAATTCATTATATGGATCCACAATAATTTCGCACATATTCGGGTCTTCATTTAAGAAAGAAATTCTATTAAATATATACCGTAAGAAAACATCTCGATGGCCTAAAATATGTCTCTATTCTATTTTTCGATCAAGAGAGAATAATTTGTAATTTACCAGTCTTTCCGTAGGTGCACTGGCAGTAGAAGCTGCCGACGCGATCGATGCAGGTTGCCCCATTGAAACAAGCCGCGCCTGCACAATCATCGATGTTGACGCTGCAGTCGGGTCCGGTCCAGCCGTTCACGCATATGCACGAATAACTGCCATGTGAATTCGTGCATGTGGCCCCATTGTGACACAAGGACGGCCGTACCGAGCACTCGTCCACGTCCAGTTCGCATTGCGTGCCCGTGAAGGCCGGTGGACACAAGCAAGAGTACTCGTTCACTCGGTCCATGCAGGTCGCACCATTTTGACAGAGGTTGCCTGGACAATCGTCGATATTTTCCTCGCAGTGATCGCCCCGAAATCCTGAAATACAAAAAAAGTCACCAATTGTTTTATTGTCAATACAAGAGTCACTGATATTAAAACTTGGCGAAAAAAATACGCGATATCACAATCATGCGGGAATAATGGTACGCATACGAAAATAGAAGAATGAGTCGTATAACGAATAAACATTACATAATTACGTGAAATAATTACATTGGAAATAATACAAATCAAAAGATATTAACAACCTCGTTAATGATAATGATAAGATGACGTTTCAGATGTTGTTTTTAAATAATTAAAACATGTGCTCGTACATACGTACTTTCGATCAGGAGTAATTCACAATCGCCGTAGTAATTAACTTTTATTGCTCAATCGCATCCGCGGATGCTCGAATGCATTTGCATAACTATCACGATCACGGCGGAGATAATCGCGAGATTAATATTCGCTATTAATATTCGCGACTGCGAGTCGCGGCAATATTTTTCTAATCGGCGTTTAACGGGAGGATTGGAAACGACGCGACGGTGGAAAGAAAAGCAGAACCCGGCGTGGCGTGGCGATCGCAATCATTCTCGATGCGGCGCGTCGGCATGACGTTCGTGGCATGATTATAAAGAGAACTCATTACCGCAACACGTTCGCCGGCATGAAAAATTCGAGATGCGTCGTCGCCGGTGTCGGCCGTCGGTTTTACCACTTCTATGAATTTATTGCCTCGACCGCGCGGTCGAGGCCGGGTTGAGCAAAAAGTGATCGCGGACTGACACGCCGAAAGGATAAAGCGATGAGCTCCGATAACCGTGAAATTGGCGCTCCGATGCGCCGGGACGAATTTCTTCCGGTCGAATCGCGCGAAGAAAACGATAAGCAAATAGAGGCGGAAACGCCTGAGGTCGTTTTGTACGCAAATTTTTACGGTAAGCTACAGTAAGCTACAGTAAGCGCAGTTCCGCATTCATTAACGTGAAACTAACTATTTTTCATTTAGATTTCTTCTGTACGAGGAAATGCAGAACAAGTAAAGTTTCCGGATTAAAAATCGTCTGGAAAGAAATCATGCGTGATTCTCTCGTATCCTTGTCACTCGTATGTGTGATTTTGTACTCTTCGATCATTCGTGCGATCATTCGTGTAATGCGTTGTTGGATAAAAATTAGGTCTTTGTTTTAAAACAAAGATCAATTCTAATCAGTCAGTTGATTGTACATAGCCTTTGAACCTTGTAAAGAAAAGATCGATAGAGATCGATTCGACGGATCGATCGAACCGACCTTGCATGAAGCTCGATTATCCGCACATCATGGAACTTTATTCATTCGTTGTTCTCGCTTTTTGGTTTCATTCTGCCGGGCAAAACAAACATTTGGACACGCGATGGCTAACGGATTCGCGACGGTTTGTCGTGACCTAAGAAGCTTTTTATTATATATGTAATCTTGCTCGTGTGCTAAATAAAAAGGTTTATAAAACAATATTAATTATGCGTGTGTATATATTAATATAAAAATATAATAAAAATATAAAGTTTTAAATATTATTGATCAATTACGATATAAAATAATTCCAAACTTGCCAATGTTTTCATATTACATATTTTCTGTTTAATGTTTCCTCCTTAATATTGTAAATCAGATCTAGATTTTCTAATTAAACTATCTGTTTTGATTATCAAAGATAAAATAAAGGTTCATATACTTAGAATTATATAAAATTATTTTTAGAATCTTGTTGAATTATATATTATTTTAGTAATCTTGTTCGATTACTCGATCTTTATCTTATCATTAAAATTCCGATAATAAGATTATGGAGAAACACACGAGCGCACCATAGATAAGATGTAATTAAGTGGCGATAAGAAACAGTAATAGCTAGCGATTGGTCCTCGTACATGCAAAAGGACATCAAGAGAAACGAGACTGCGAAAAGAAAACAAAATGATAAAATTGAATTTAATAGAATCGTTTAGCAATTACCACGCGACAACATATTGCACGAAGTGTCGATATCAATGTGCGATATCAATACTTTTCGCGTTATTTTGATTCTCGCTAATCAATAGATGTATATTACACGATGTCGCCAATTACCGGCAAGAACACGTACCAACATTGGCAAGCCCTTAATATTAATACTAATATTAATAATTCATTTATTACTATTTATTTCTTATAATCATCTAATTGCATTGACATGCCTGTATGTTTCTACACAAAGAGCTTATCTTTTTATGAGTATAACGAATTACGTATTATTATTATTTGTAAATATTACAATAATATCAATACACAAATTTTTTAATTTTAGTTTTATATATACAGATAATTATATATGTAAATACAGCAGTTATGTTGGGAAAGAGAAATATCAAGTGTCTTAAGAAATTTCCAATTTTGTCATTTCTTCAAATAATTATCAATGCTGTTGTCGATAATTGCATTAATCGCAACAAACAAAATCGTGCGATTTTATAATCGTGCGATTTTATAATCGTGCGATTATATAATCGTGCGATTATATAATCTAAGCATCAATTCAGATAATCAGTTGTGGCAAGGTACGTATAAAGTGGATTAAACGCTGAATCAGGATATTTGTTACATAATTCATGCAAAAATAAGAACCGCAAGAAAATCCGGATGTATCTTATAAGAGCGTAAGAGACACATTTCTCTTTTTCTCTCTCTCTTCCCTTTTCTCGTGTCTTCCCTGTTCTTCTTCTTCTTCTTCTCCTCTCGATATCTCCCCTTATCTATCCGGTATCAGTTGTTGCTCGGTGATACATACCTGGTCATGGACTACGGTTAACATCTAATGGTGCGCATAATTTATGCCTCATAGAACATCCGACTATACTTCCCGCGGCTGTGTAGCAGCGACGACGACATGACTTAGGGCCAGAGTGATGGTAAAAACGCGGGCCAGCACGTACCCGTGGGGCCTATCACGTTATTACAGTAGAACCCCGCGAAGGATGCCCATGGCATTAATATTAAAGCGACGCGAAAGTAAATCGATCCAGCAGGAAGCGCTGATTCGCAGCGATTCGTCGAAATCATTTCAGAGAACCGTAACTTCGTAGACTTTAAAGATCGATCTTTGCTCATCTCGATGATTGATACATTCGCTAAATTCACGGTTACTATTTCACAATGACCCCTGTTTATGTCAGAGGATAATAATCATTATCTATCTTTTGAATATAAATAACGTTTATGATAAATGAAATTAACGGAAGTAATTACGATGATCAAACGTGATCCTTTTCATCTTTATTTTTTGCAAACAATTTTAGACAGGATGAGTAGGCAGATGCATTAGGGGAATTTTCAGACGATATTGATTCTTCACAAAATGTGCATAGTTGATTGTACTCGTAAGGTTTCGAATTGGAATTTGGACCAAGATTCTCACGGAGCCAAGTACGGAAGGGCTTCTTTCCTTCTCGAGTTACTGTATTAAAAATGAGATACGTCGTTATAGGGGTTTACATCCTTCTACGATGAGATTTCCATAACTCGTGCGTATCCAAATATTTTTCAGTAAAATAAAAATTAATAAAACAATCGACTAACTTACATAGTTATATGAGAAAACAAGCAAAATAATAAGTGAACTGATATCACAAAATCAAAATAAATGAATCATAT